TGTCAGAAGCATTTAGAATTTGGGGGGGGGTGTCTGAGGGTCCTCCCCCATAAAATTTAGAATAAAGTAGATGTAATTTCCTGCATTCTGGTGTATTTTGACGGGTTGTTAAACGTCTACGTTTTCCTACATAAGTAAACACTGTCACGATTGGTGCTGGTGAACCCAGTGTGCAGGTGAGCAGGCGTGGACTCAGGATTTATATAAAAATAAAAGATTTATTAACAAAACAAAAGAGCTGACAGGGCAGCAAAAGCAAACAAGGATGGACAGGTGGTACTTACAGACAGGTCATGAACAGTGAGCAGTAGACAATGCCAGGACAAACACTAACACAGAGACACAGACTTATATAGAGAGAAACACTAATCAGACAAATTGAAGACACCTGTGAGTGATCACAGACGCCAGGAGACAGAGACTGAAGATGCAGGACATAAACACGACACAAGACGGGGCCAGACACCAAAGAAACACAAACCCTGTAGAGACATAAACTGAGGATCAGGCAAACAGAGACATGAACACAACACCAAGGACAAAACCACAATTCCTACAAACACTTGATTCAATAACTACTTTAGAGAGCAACAAGAAGTAGCACTAAGCTAGCAGGGTGCAATACAAACCTGCTAGCTAAGATGCTACAGACGTAGCGCTCCGCTTTACATTACACAACTTAATGAAAACTTTGCATAAAATCACTTTAGTGTTAACACACAATTTTTTTATTTTATTTCTTTGTTTAAAATTGACTTTTAAATGCATTAATGGTCCCAGAGCTGGTGAGCAGAATGATTTTAAAAGTCAGCAGCTCAGGAGTTGCAACAAGAGGTGCAGTTGATGGAGACTGCAAACCTGCAAAATACAAAAACATCATTTGGTCAATGTTCTTCTCATTTAAAAGTCCTCATCTCTGGAGCAGTTCACCATGAGCAATAAAAACATTAATAGATCTTAGAGTTTTTAATTCCCAGGTGAAAAAAATGGTTGAAGCAAAACCAAATCTGTGAACACTGAGCCCCATGGGGATGGAGGAGCAGGCGTGAGTGTGAGGGAACTATTTAATTTAAATTAAATTTTAATTTTATTTTAGCTGTTTTTTATATAAAAGTCCAACCAAGGACTGGGTTTACAAATTAGCCTGTGGTTAGAAAACCTTCGTACAAACATGTAACATTGTTTATTGTGCTGTCCTTGTTCAAATAAACTTGAATGAATGAATGAACAGATCATAACAAAAACCAATCTTATTTAACCAGAAGTTGCAACATATACCTACGTCTAAAACACAAAACAAAGCACAGCAAGCTTTAACCTTTAATTTAACCATTAACCATACGATGTAATTACCTGCAGTTACCTTCGTACAGATGAACATGTGGTACTTCCTGTTTATAACTGTTGTAATCAGCTGATCATGAGGTCGGCTGCAGGTCTTTATCATCTTTTACATTTTCCAGTTTTTATACTGCTACAACTCTAAACTCAAACTAAAGGGTGTTTGTGGATCAACAGCTTCACACAAACAATTTAATCATGGTTCGCTCAGAAAGAGATGACACTTCTATTCTTTGCCGTCTGCAGGATGGCGTGGAGGACAGTCACCGCATCCCCCCATCTCCGGTCGTCCACGTCCGAGGACTGTGCGATGCTGTGGTGGAGGCTGACCTGGTGGAAGCACTCGAGAAGTTCGGCAACATTTGGTAATAAAAACATAGATAATATTTACCACAGGTAAATATTGTTTGAACGTGTTATGAAACGAGAAAAGATGACGTACAAGTTAAAGGTGTTAATTAATTTTGACCTGATTAAAAAAAAAGACAATTTGCTTGAGAGAAGAACATTGTTCATCTGGTCCACGTCTTGATGTTTGGACCATTTTATGAGCTTTTGAACATTAATTTAAAAACCAAAGTGTAGCAGTGTTCCTCCTGGGTTACTGACCTTGGCAGGGCGCTCATCTCTTCCGAGGTTTTTGTCGATGGGGGCGGAGTCAAGTCTTTGTTGCGCGCTGCTAGTTTAGTGCTATGTCAGTGTCAGCAGGGTGGGGGGTGTTCATGGCAGTTTGGTAGGCAGGGCGCTCAGCTGACAGGATGGGGCGCCCTCCTTGTCTAATGGTAGGAGAGACTCTGGAATGGAAATTAGATTTATTGACTTGAAATTGGGGACTTCCTAGAAAGGCAGCACCTATTATTATTATCCACCTGAAAATGGTCTTACTCTTCTTTCAACTGAATACGGCCCGAACCGCAACGTGCCCCCCCCACAAATGTTATACAGAAACGACCAGCTCGGCCCCGTGATGTGTGCTATTACTTTTATTGGCATGTCACGTTACCATGGCGACATATGCAAACAAATAGCTCTGCTATTTTAAAAGATATTCAACTGGAATTTGGCGTGGTGGTAGCTGGGAGCAATCCTGAATTCAAATAAAACATTAAAAATGGCCACCAAAGCTAAACTTAAACGGATTTAACTCGGCTCTTTTTACACACATCGAGCTGGAATCTGGCGTGGTGGTAACTGAGAGTGAACCCCAACACACCGTACTGTCAAATCAGTCTTTTAAAATGGCTGCCATGTTGCAGTCCCCGTCAAAGCTCCTCCAGGAAGCTTCTAGTTTTGTTTCTTGCTTGGTGATAGCATGACTTCAGCGTCAGTTCCCTTCAGAAAACAGCTGCAGTTTTTGTTTTAGGCCCCAGTTATCAGAACTTTTCCCTCTTGTTGATGTTTCTACCTGTAATACAGTGACAATAAAACATTCTGGTTTTAAATCTACTAAAGAACGTTGCACTCCATGTTTGTTACTTTTTTTACCCCTGGGCTTCCATCGCATCTGAAGCTGACACACAAATTTCCATTTTTTTTGTGTAACATCACGTGCCGTGAAACAATCCAACACGTATTGACCGTCATGCTTCTGATGGTGTGTGTGAGTGCTAAAATAAGGTGTGGTTGTGGCTCAGAGTCATTCTTCAAACGTGCTGTCAGCTCGACACGGTGGTGCACAAGACTTTCTGCTTAAAACTCAAGAATGAACTGTTAAAGAGCAACATGTGTAACAACTAGCTAACCCATGTAAACTAACAACTATAACTAACCACGGGACAGATTTTAGTGAAACCTTTGTCAGCAGTCTTCTTTAAAAGATGGCCGCCACAGTTAATTGTGATTAACAGAAAAACGATCATAGCTCCAGCCTGGTACGGGTGCAGAGTTTTGTCTGTTTGCAAATGTCTTTTTTATTCTTTCAAACACAGAAACAGTGTTTACTTGTTATTATGTGGACACACCAAATGCCATATTTTTAAAAGTGATGATGTCATAGACTCCGCCTCCAGCCCGGCCTAACGACAGGTTACATGCTTGCGTTCGTGCTGCAGATACTTCTTTAGAGTAAAAGCTTCAGGTCCAGCATCAGACAAGACTGATGGACAATAACATTACCCCTTCATTATTCATCAAATAATCCAAGGCCAAAATTATTTTATTAAACTGTCAACATTACAAAAACGATCGTTGCAGATAAAGATCAACAATATGCATCAAATGTACGTTTAGAAATCATAGAGCATAAGTATTAGAAGATAAACTTTATGTTTAAATTATTTCCCATGAACATTCTGATGATTATAAGTTAAACTCTTCCCTCCAGCCTCATCTGGACGTATACTCTGCAAGAAGTAGTCCATTATGTCCATGCTTTCAGACCAGCATGACTCCCAGTCTACAGACTGAAATTTTAATGGGACACAGTAAGGGTTCAACTTCATCGTCAGTCCAAAGAAATGGAAACATTTCTAAAAATGTGTTTACAGGAAAAGATTGTTCTGGAAAGAGAGTGTTCCCATGTGGTCAAGGCCTCAGTCAGTTTTACATCCACTGTGCTAAAATTTGATGTGGTAGTAGCTGACAGTCATTCACAACCATTGACGTAAGAAGCACTTTTGTGTGTATGAGTGTGTGTGTGTGTGTGTGTGTGTGTGCGTGCGCGCGCGCGTGCGTGCGTGTGTGTGTGTGTGTGTGTGTGGAAAATTTTGACCAAAGTAGAAGCCATTTCCTGCATTCTGATGTATTTTAACAGGTTGTTAAACGTCTACATTTACCTACATATGTTGATTCAGCAACTATCGTAGAGAGCGTGGCGCGAAGCTCCTCCCACATTCGTAAGGTACGATGTGGTTCGGGCCACATTAAAGTTGATGGAAGAGTAAGGTGTAAAGTTAAGAAACCCTTGTCAGGTGGATAATAATAGGTTCTGCCTCTTATAAGCAGTCCCCAATAAAATGGTAAAATGGTGCAATAAATATGTTAAAAATCTGTCCAAAATAAAAACTTACTAATCTAATTTTTTGTCGGTAACACATCTAGCAATAGAGCAAGTGTGGTGTTGTTCTGAGAGCCCCCTCTGACCTCTGCACTTTGCTCTGTTGGCAGTTACGTCATGATGATGCCGTTTAAGCGGCAGGCCCTGGTGGAGTTCGACAGCGTGGAGAACGCCGAACGTTGTGTGACGTGTGGAGCCAGCGAGGCCGTCTACATTGCTGACCAGCAGGCCTTCTTTAACTTCTCCACGAGCCAGAGGATCACCCGACCCACCAACGCAGACGACCCCACCAGCAGAAACAAAGTCCTGCTGCTGTCCGTTCAGAATCCACTGTACCCCAT